TACCATTCAGGAAAATCCAGAGGTCACTTGAAACAAGCAAATCTCTTCACCTTTGAAAAAATGGTCTTATATATGATTCATGAACTCAAGACAAAGGTTTCATGTCCTGTGTGAAACATAGGCTCTCTTGGGACTATGAAGGCAAAGGATTTAAAGAACCTCAGAAACATTTCCAAAGGAAAATATGACACCACTTCTGGCATCTCCCCAATAGGAAAAAAAATACTGAAATGTATTGCATGAACCAGCTTAATACATCTGAATTGTCAAACTGAAAAATTAAGACTATCCGATAAGGCTTTCATATACTCCTATAGGCTGTGCGGTGGTCTTTCTTATCCCAAACCCTTACTGTGAATTAATGAATATTATTTGGGAGAAATTACGTATAATTATGAGCTTGAGCAAACTCTTTGTTCTGCTCATTTGAGAGTTTAAGTGGTTTCAATTGACAGACTATCCAAAGTGTTTTACTATTCCCCCCTACCTTCTTTCATTAAAGGATATATGTTGCTTTATCTATATTGCCTATATAATAGTGTTGTAAAAAAGTTGGCAATTTGTACTTCAGAATACAAATTTGACATGTCATAATATGTAAGAAGTAACTACATCTCTATAGAAATAGAGCACAACAATGATAAAAACTCCCTTGAATGCATTTGGGTCAATCATTTAAATATGAGCCAGCAGTGTGCTGCAGCTGCCAAAAAAGCCAACACAGTGCTAGGCTGCATTAACGGGGATAGAATCAAGATCACGTGAAGTATTAATACCACTTTACAATGCCTTGGTAAGGCCACACTTGGAATACTGCATCCAGTTTTGGTCACTACGATGTAAAAAAGATGTTGAGACTCTAGAAAGAGTACAGAGAAGAGCAACAAAGATGATTAGGGTACTGGAGGCTAAAACATATAAGGAATGGTTGCTGGAATTGGGTATGTCTAGTTTAATGAAGAGAAGGACGAGGGGGGACATGATAGCAGTGTTCCAATATCTCAGGGGCTGCCACAAAGAAGAGGGAGTCAAGCTATTTTCCAAAGCGCCTGAAGGCAGGACAAGGAGCAACTGGTGGAAACTAAGCAAAGAGAGAAGCAACCTAGAACTAAGGAGAAACTTCCTGACAGTTAGAACAATTAACCAGTGGAACAACCTGCCTCCAGAAGTGATGAATTCACCAACACTGGAAGTTTTTAAAAAGAAACTGGACAGCCATTTGTCCGAAATGGTATAGGGTTACCTGCCTGAGCAGGAGGTTGAACTAGATGACCTCCAAGGTCCCTTCCAACTTTATTATTATTATTATTATTAATAATAATAATAATAATAATAATATAAAAGGGGGGAAATGACATTGCCATAGGTGCCATAGACCACCCAACCAAACAGAGGAAATTGATGAAGTTTTTGCTAGTCAGTTAACTAAGGTATGTAGGAAGCACACATCATAATAGTAACAGGGGACTTTAACTACCCTGACATCAACTGGAAGACAAACTCCCAAGTTAAAGATCAAACAGATTCTTGACAAACGTAGCAAACAACTTTGTCTCCCCAAAAGTAAAGAACGGAACTGGGGATCAGTCATATTGGACTTAATTCTCACTAACAGAGATGAAATGATAGAAGGTGTTGAAGCCACAGGAACCTTGGGGATGAGTGATCATGCAACATTGTGCAAACACAAGCAATAGAACAAAGTCAAATTAGAGTCTTGGACTTTAAGAGAGCTAGTTTCAATAAACTTAGAGAGAGCTTGGGAAGGATTCCATGGATGAGAATACTCAAGGGGAAAACAAACCAAGAAGCTTGGGAAACTTTGAAAAGTGAGATTATAAAAGCCCATTCTAGCACAATACCAAGGAAGAAGAAAAATAACAGTTCTTAAAAGAAACCAGCATGACTGCATAAAGAAGTCTCCGATAAATTGAAAGACAAAAAGGACAAGTATAAAAAATGGAAAGAGGGGCACATAACTAAGGCAGAATATCAGCAAATAGCCCAAACCTGCAAAGTTAAAGTGAGGAAAGCTAAGACTCAAAATGAACTAAGGCTTGTGACAAAAATAACAAAAAAAGCTTCTTTCAACATGTAAATGATTAGTCCATTAATGGGAGAAAGTGGCAATAAGGTGACAAGCAACAGTGAGAAAGCAGAACTGCTTAACTAATTTTTTTGCATCCGTCGTTACACAAAAGGAAAAAACAGTCCAACCTATCAAAAACAGTACCATAAAAAACAGATTAGGAATACAAGTAAAGATAGGCAAGAAAATGGTAACTGAGCACCTGTCCACCCTAGATGAGATCAAATCATCAGGACCAGATAAATTATACCCCAAGGTTCTGAAGGAACTGCCAGATCTGATCTCAGAACCACTGAACTATATCTTTCAAAGATCCTGGAGCACTGGGGAACTACCAGAGGACTGGAAAAGAGCTGATGTAGTTCCCATCTTCAAAACAGGAAAAAAAATGGATCCAGGAAACCACAGACCTATCAGACTGACCTCAATACCTGAGAAGATTCTGGAAAAGATAATCAAGCCACGAATGAGCGAATGCCTAGAGGCAAACAAAGTCATAACCAAAAGCCAACATGGGTTTGTCAAAAACAGATCACGCCAGACAAATCTTATTGGATTCGTTGACAAAGTAACAAAAGTAATGGACCAGAGGAATGCTGTGGATATAATTTACTACTTGATAAAATAGAAAAATGTGGGTTAGACAGCACTACTATCAGATGGTTTTGTAACTGGCTGACCAACTGCATTCAATGTGTAGTCCTCAGTGAAACTGTATCTACATAGAGGGAAGCATGCAGTGGGGTACTGCAAGGCTCTGTTTTAGGCCCAGTACTCTTCAACATCTTTATCAATGATTTGGATGAGGGGATATATGGGGAACTCACCAAATATGCAGACGATACCATGCTGGTAGGAATAGCCAACACTCAGGAAGATAGCTTAAAATACAGAACGATCCTGATAGACTTGAACATTGGGCGCTATCTATGAAATTCTACATTTAGGCAAGAAAAAACAAATGCACAGTTATAGTAGAGATGTACCTGGCTCAATAGTAGTAACTATGAGAGGGATCATGGAGTCCTAGTGGACAACCACTTAAATATGAGCCAGCAGTGTGTTGTGCAGCTACCAAAAAAGCCAACGCAGTTCTAAGCTGCATTAACAGAGGGATACAATCAAGATCACGTGAAGTGCTAATACCACTTTATAGTGCCTTGGTAAGAGCGCACTTGGAATAGTGCATCCAGTTTTGGTCACCATGATGTAAAAAAGACGTTGAAACTCTAGAAAGAGTGTAGAAAAGAGCAACAAAGATGATCAGGGAACTGAGACTAAATCATAAAAACAACGGTATGTCTAGTTTAATGAAGAGAAGCACGAGCGGTGATATGATAGCAGTGTTCCAGTATCTCAGGGGTTGCCACATAGAAGAGGGAATCAAGCTATTCTCCAAAGCACCTGAAGGCAAGATGCAACGGATGGAAACTAAGCAAAGAGAGAAGCAACCTAGAATTAAGGAGAAATATCCCGACAGAACAATTAATCAGTGGAAGTGAACCAGGATATCACAAAGTCCCCCACTCCCAACCCCTGAAGCTGCTCTAGAAGGATACCATGGTTGATGTTATCAAGTTAAAACAAACTGAAAAAGGAACAGGGCTTTTTCCAACAATAATGGGAAAATTGTTTGGTTTTATCTGCATACTTTCCTACATTTTTTTAAATTAGGTAATCAGGCTGCTTAAATATAGTGAGTTACTGCAAGGATATATAGTTTTATGTTGTAGCAATTCCACAATTACACTGAAAGCACAGTACTTTCCTTGACTGTTAGGGGCGGAGGAGTTTTAAATTGAAGTAAATCAAACAATTAATGGTATTTATTCGTATTTCTGCAGAGTGAACACTATACTCTGTGAAGAGACAGAGGACTTCAGTCCCCAAGCTTGCCAATCCTTTATCTTTTGTGAACTTTAAATTAATTTTTAAAAACCTATTTATTCAAGGTTGACTAAACAGCTAACATAGGAAAGATCAGACAAATCAGGAGCAGGAAATGAAATATGAGGAAACCAGAATTCTTTGACAAAGTGTCCCAGCGGGTTAGTGTGCTGAACGTAGCCAGTAGGGAAATGATAAGGGCATTTATGCTGGGATAGAAGAAAGCAATTTATCAAGAGAACTTGAGCTCTCCAGTGACCACCCAACAAAGAAGATACCAAAGCGCATAAGGAGGAAGAGGACTCCCTGCAAGAAAATGTTTCAAGCTGACAAAATTGTATTTTTTTTTAAAAGGTGCAAGTAAAGAAGTCCATTTTGTTAAACGTTATGCCTCATCAATAATTCTTTAGTCTTTCAGAATAAAAAAACAAGAAACAGGCTGATTTTGAAGCTATTTGAATGAAAAAGGGGGAAGGAGGCCAGAGAGATTATTGAGTGAAGTCTTTACGTATTAAAAAAAAATGTACTTCCAAACAGCAAAATGTTAAGTGGAAGTTAAAAGCCGACATTATTTCATTTCACATGGCTGTCTCTTTACAGTGTACATTGTACAAATAAATATTTTCCCTCTTCTGCCCATGTTAAGGATAAAACTATTTAGAGAAACAGATACTAAATTTATATACCCAATTATCTACCACACATAACACAACTCTGTGATTCTGTTACATACTTGTATATGTGTGGTATATAATTTGGTATGTATCTGTTTCTCTAAATAATTTTTTCCTTAACATGGATAGAAGAGCTATTAGCTATTCTGAGAGATCAACAGAATCAGTATTAGTCAGGTATTTCTATCAGTGCCCTTAAATGTGTAATTTGTGCATCTTATCTTCAGTTATTTTAATGTAGTATGCTCTTTTAATGTAACCTACAATTGTAGTTTGAACAGTACAATAACAGATTGAATTTAATGTACTGTTCTCATTTCACCATTCTCTGTCCTTGTTCCTTCTTTCAGCTTTGGACAAGCTTAGCACTCAGCATCTGTACCATCCAACTCAAGTGGAGATTGTACAATCCAATGTTGTGTTCGACATCAGCAGCTTGATGCTATACGGTACTCAGGCTGTGCCCGTGAGACTGAAGATTCTGCTTGATCGACTGTTCAGCGTCTTGAAACAGGAAGAAGTGCTGCACATCCTTCATGGCTTGGGCTGGACTCTTCGCGACTATGTTCGGGGTTATATCCTTCAGGTAGGAGCCCTGTTTGCAAACAGGTAGATAGCTCCAGGATTCAAAAACCAAAACGAGGCACTTTTGTTCATTGTCTCCCTTATAATTTATTAGGTATGTTGGATGTTACTGGAATTGAGGGGAAATAATGTTACCGAAATGTGATTTTTCCTGAGTACAGGTAGTCCTCGACTTACAACCATAATTAAGTCCAACATTTCTGTTGCTAAGTGAGACAATTGTTGAGTGATTTTTGCACCATTTTACGACCTTTCTTGCCATAGTGGTTAACTGAATCACTGGAGTTGTTAAGTTAGTAACATGATTTATTAAGTTGCAGGATCCAATCTGGGTCGGTCATCAGGACCAGAGGTTTTCTCTTCGGGCTTGTGCTGGAGCCCATTTTTAGGGAACTTCTCTCTAGCAGATGGGCTTCAGCACGAGTCTGGAAGCTTGGAAGACAAAAACGCTGGTCCCGGATGACCGACTCAGATTGGATCCTGCAACATTATTCTGGGACACACCTTCATTCATGGTTATTCAGTGAATCTGATTTCCATTGACTTTTCTTGTCAGAAGATCACAAAAGGTGATCCCATGACCCCAGGACACTGCAATTGTCACAAATATGAGTCAGTTGCCAAGTGTCTGGATTTTGATCACCTGTCCACGGAGATGCTCTAACAATCGTAAGTGTGAAAAATGGTCATAACTCACTTTTTTCCACTGCTATTGTCATTTTGAATGGTCACTAAATGAACTGTTGTAAGTCAAGGACTACCTGCAGTTTGAAAAATTTGCCAAAACATTTCTCTTGTACATCTTTACTGCATAGCAAGAGCTATAAGATTTGCAAACACTTTTAGGATTTCAATGTTTCATTCTGAAATTAGTACAATTCCTAGCCCTCCCACTTAATGTTATTTAAAATAGAGGAATTAACAAAACACTGTCCTTATGGTAAATCCATTTGTGAAGATTATTCACTTTTGCTATAAGATTTTTCAGAATATCTTACTTCTATAGCAGGGAAAGTAACGAACAACATTTATTGGCTCTTGTCTGAGATATGGATTATGCCATAATTGTATTCCATTTGAATATCCTGGTTACTTATGCTTAAGCATAAATGTGGTGGCTGGAAACTGATCATCCTTATTTAAGGATGCAAGTATGCAAGAAAGATTTAAGATGCATTTGTGTATATAGTTACCTGAAAATAAGTCTCACTGGTCTTCTGAATAGGTATGCATAAGCCTACATTGTTAAAATCCTACAATACTGTATACTAAAATGAAAAGCACCAACTTTAGCCAAATTGTGAATTGGCATTTTTGAAATTATCTTCAGGTACACACATACAAAACTGAATGCTCAAGGGAAGGTAGAATAATCAAATTATTATCTATAATTGCATATTATATTTAAACAGAACACAGTGATTGCAAAACAATAACATCCTGTGTTTAAATAATCACTGTGTCTGGAGGAAATGTAAAACCATGGTTTAATGTTTCAGAAATAAGCATCTCTCTAAGCTTGCATGCTTTGCTGTAATGCATGTACATGGTAGAGATTGGAGACTTCTGTTTTAGATTATCTGCAGCTTAGTCTGTAGCCTGAGCTCTAAGATGGTTCAATTTGGTCAACTATGTTTTAGCTACAAGTTCCCTTGGCTTACTTTTAAGTTACCTTGTCACCCAAATAGAGTGCAGAGTTTCTTCCAACCAGAATAATCCAGAAAAAGCTTAAAATAAAATATTGGTTCTCCTTCTAGCTTATTTTGGCAAGAATAAGCCATTGTGCGATATTTGGGATGACACGGATATTATAAATAAGCTATGTTTGCAAGCCTCAACTCAGAAAATGAACTTCTGGCACAATCACATTTGAAGTACTATTATCTAAGGAGGCATCATCTGAATGCAATCTATGTGTTTTACTGAAAACAAGATGACTTTATTAGCTACAGTTTAGAGTTATGTTTGAATTGACAGGGACTAGATGCATTCAATATCTTTTTTTTAAAAAAAGAGCAATAATATGTTGTTCAAATGTCTGCCCCTCGAGAATGGAGATTTCTGAAGTTTCTCACTCAATGACGCCTATTCCTGTTTACATGAAAGCTATGTATAAAACAGGAACACTACCAAGAAGGAATTAGTGGAGGAGCTGATCTTGATTGATCTAAAAAAAAAATATGAGCGTAGGGAGATTTTAATATATTTTTAATTCTAAAAGAGTTACTGCTTCCCAGGCAGAGTCAGTTCATAATCGGTGAGTCCTCCTGGACTGACAGCTTCTGCTCAGGAGAACCTTTGAACTCTCCATCTTGTTGCAACCAATGGAGCAGGAGCCTGATCACTGTCCCACATGCCTGTCATCCCACAGGCGAACTAGTTTTCATTGGGCTGCCATGAAAACTAGGCAGAAACTTCAATCAACCCAGACAACTGTGTCTTAGACAGTTATGGGTGCTAGTTGATTTGCTTATGGATTAATATTAATTTTTTCCAGACACAATTCAAAATGTTGGCTGTTAACGTTACTGTCCTACATAGCTTAGGATTTGAATATATGCATGATTTCTTCCCACTGTTACGTTTTTGAAGAGAAGGAGCTCTTCCTGAGGGACTATCATCTGCAGAATAGTTCCTGTTCTCTAGAGTGGAAGTTCAGATTCTACATGGACTTTTGAGTTTTCAAAAAGCAATTTAACCTTAGCTTCTCAAACCTGCATTCAGGGTCAGAGATACTCTCTTGAGTAAAGCAGAGTGTTGCATGGGACAGCGTTATTAGCAATGCTGAGGGTATTTTGCTATACATTTTGTTTTTAACTACTTTATTGGCCCACTTAGAGCCATCTGTAATCGGGATAGCATATAGGTCCAATAAATAAATAAAGACATATGAGCATACATTCTTAGAACGGGGATCACCAGAAAAATTCAGGATTGTCACTTTGACATGAAAACTAGACAAATTGGAAAAACATCCTGAAGGAGGAAATGGTAAACCACTTCACCACGATTGCCAAAAAAATTACTATCAGGAGTCAAGTTTGAAAACTTTATTTATTTATAAGAATTATTGCTGAAGTCTGTTTGCCCCAGTGTTATGGTTTGCCGAAGAGCCTTCTTGTTGCTGTTTTTTGAGTCCTGCAGCATGGTCTACTATTAGAAGTGGATAGAAGTGTTTGATTTGCTAAGAAGTAGACCAGAATTTGTTACAAGTTAGCGAGCCTTTCTTTGTTGTTTGTTTGTTTTAAAGAAAAATATTTCTGATCAGTTTATATTTAGAAAGACAAATTAAGAGAAGGAGCAATGCTCTGGACTTTTCATGTTGGTGAAGTTGTATGACCATGCCAAGATTCCAGTTCACCGGACGAAAGGAGATTAAAAATTCAAGTACATAGCTCACTAACATATCTCCAAATGCATATCTCCAAAATATAATATAGAGAATAGGTCCCACTTCTTCAGAAAGCACACTTTTGACCTGTTGGAGAAGCATGTTGAGGTGTATTTAACCATGACGTTTTATTGATATAGCTTGGGTTTTGTTGTGTATTTGTTCTTTTATATATTCCACATCTGATTATTTTTTTTTAGTAGAAGTGAAATTGAAGCTAGTGGAATGTAAATTTAGAATTAAAGGGTACAAGTTTCACCATAAAGATCAGATGATGGGTTTGTTCTTAATAACATTTGCCTTTTGTTTTTATCCTAATTCTACAATTATGTCTCTCAATTTTGGATGAGCTGAGCTTATCAAATGGAAATTAATAAGCACGTTAGAGGGGATACTTTATTAGTAACCTTTCAAGTCTTTAATCAGTTGGCAGTTGTCTACATGTAAAATTATAATTCTTTTTTTCATTGTGCGAAAACATAGATAGATGCTTTCCCATACATTTTAAATTCAAGTATATCCCTTCTGCTCACAGATGTACATTTTTCTCTTAAACAATGCCATGTGTGCTTGTGTATTATAAATTCTTAGGGTCTGAATAATGTTGCTTAAAAGGTGAAGGAAAAGACTAGTATCCTGATAAGTGGATTTGGTTTCTACATAGTGTTTTTAAAAAGTGCCATTTTTTTTTCCATATGAAATGTTCAAAACTCCCAAGATTATATTCTGTAACTCCTGCGTGGAAAAGGAAGCTTGTACTGAGTCAATGTTGCAGAAACAAGCCAATATTTTATTTTTAAGATACCTACTAGAATGGGTGGGCATGAGCAGGATGGATTTGTGGACAGGAAGCGAGGTTCATTTGTTTCAACAAAAAACAGGCAATATGGTACTTTGATGACATCTTAAAATCTAATCATATCATTTTAACATTATCTAGGTCAGTGTTTCCCAAACTTGACAATTTTAAGGCATGTGGACTTCAACTCCCAGAATTCCACAGCCAGCATTGCTGGCTGTGGAATTCTGGGAGTTGAAGTCCTCATGCCTTAAAATTGTCAAGTTTGGGAAACACTGATCTAGGTGTCTGAATTCATTATACTACACCTTTGGACCCTCCAAAAGTTCCCCAATACACGTAGTCATTGACTTACAACCATTCATATAGTGACTATTCAAAATTACAACGGCACTAAAAAAAAGTGACTTATGACCATTTTTCACACTTACGACCATTGTAGGGTCCCCATGGTCATGTGATCCAAATTCCGATGCTTGCCAACTGGCATGTATTTATGACGGTTGCAAGGTCCTAGGGTCACATGATCACTTTTTGTGACCTTCTGACAAGCAAAGTCAATGGGGAAGTCAGATTCATTTAGCAACTGTGTTTAGTAACACAGTTAACAACTGCAGGGATTCACTTAACTGTGGCAAGAAAGTTCGTAAAATGGGGGCAAAACTCACTTAACAACAGTCTTGCTTTGCAACAGAAATTTGGGGCTCAGCTGTGGCCTTTGTTCAAGGAATGTGTGAGTTGAACTGTTACTTTTCCATCCTGTGTCTTTTCCAAGAGATCAGTATTGACAATGCAGTGGTAAGAAGGCGAG